CTCTGCTCCATCTCTCCCTCACCTCCCCTCTTTTCCTCCCCCTCCACTCCCCTCGCTCTCTCATCTTCTCTCCTTTTCCCTTCTCCCTCTCCTTCCCCATCCCTCTCCCCCTTCTCTCCTCCCTCTTTCTCCCCCTCACCTCTCCTATTTTCTCTCCTCTCTCTTCTCTCCTCCCCCTTCCCCCTCCTCATTCTCCCCCCCCCCTCCCCTCCCTCCTCTTTCCCCCAAAAGGTCTTTTCCTCCTCTTCTCTTCCCTTTTTCCCCGCTCCTCCTAAAATTGCTTCCCTCTCACTGAAATTAGACCTAGATTTTCTCTGTCAGCCAGTCTTTAACGGCATCTCCCTCTCTACCTCCTTCACTCTCTCCTTCACTCTAAGTATCTCTCTCTATGTCAGTCTAGCATGGCAGGATGGCTGGTGGGGAGAGAATGGTGTGCTGTGGGGGTGTGGCAGACCCTGGTTCAAATAGTATTGGTTTCCTTTCAAGTACTTAGAGTATTTGATTGAGCCTGTCTGGAGTGCCAGATGGGTGGGATTTGCACTTTTGGGCCTTCTCCATTGGTTCCATTATGCCAGACGATCTTAATCAAGCACTGTTTGAGCATTCAAAAGAAAACAAATACTATTTGAACCCAGGTCTGGTGGAGGTGCCCGGGGAAAGAGGCGAGATCCTAGTGATGATTAATGTGGAGGGGGCAGGTCAGACGTCTTAAGAGCAATGTAATTTTCATTTTAGTGACTAAACCCCATTGATTTGTAATCCCCCATCCCCCATTCTTTTTATTACCGCTGTCATCTCCTTAATGGGCTTTAGCATGGCAGCGTTGACTGTGACATCCCCAAATCTGCTGCTGTACATATTCTATTTAATCTGCAGCTCCTAATGGAGCCATTTCTGGGGTACCAGCAGCACCTCTCTCCTCTCCTCAAACACCCGTCTGGATCTGTCTGTGACTGTGGGAGAATAGGATTATAGTCAGGACTTGCTTTGCTGCCTCTATAAACATTGTTGAATGTTCAGTAGATTCATAGCTCTTTTATCATAAAGCCTAAGTTAACATACATATTGTACTATATACACAGTTCTCCATTCAACTCCCTGTCTGTCTGTCTCAGTCAGTCAGATACTATTCAAGCTTGGCATTTGAAGCTTATTGCTGTTCCCTTGATGCTCAGGAGATTGCTGTTAAAATGCTAATGAGAGGCTGGGAGCCTGCATGCATGGTGTGAATGTGTACTGTGTGTACAGATGCTAGATGATCCATTGTAAATTAGCCCGTTCTCGTCCCAGGAGAGGGAATTTAATAACAATCATATTTACTTAAGTAAGTGGGTGTTGTGTAACAATATGTCAGCTCACTCGGATCAGACTCCTACTCACCACTACTGCTGCTTATGGGGGCTGATGTTTACATGGATATGTGTGTGTGTGTGTGTGTGTGTACACAAATATATATATATATATATATATATATATATATATATATATATATATCTGCGGCTCAGAAGCTGCGAGACAAATTACCCCCAGTTTCCTCCTTCTCCCCTCTGCTCCCCCTACAGCCACCTGCTCCCTCCTCTGCCATTACGGGGAGATGAGGGAAATTACTTACAGAAGTAATTCGTGGGTGGTAATGAAATTGGGTCTGATTTTTAATAAGCTCTTCATTTAAAAGTCAGTGTTATGAAACATTAATGAACAGGAGATGTCTCTCTCTGCACAAACCTTCTCGGCACCAGTGAATTGCCTGGAGAACGCAGTCACCATATGTGTGAAGATAAGAAGATATGAGGGCAATGGTGGAGCATGTATTGTACATGTGTTGCTGCACCAGATGTTTTGCATATTACTTTTCATGATCATTAGGCTGATTTATATACAGCTCAAGCATGTATGGTAGGCTGCATCATGTGCTGTGTGTAATATTGCTGCTCCTAATGTTTTGCATATTACTGTCATGCTTGTTAGTATTGGCCTACTTTTAAAACATTTTTAGTGAGGGAAACATTGCTTTGTAGTGTTAATGACTAGTGAATGTATGCATTGGCTCAGAACGGGATTGCCAGATGCCCAGTTTTTCTAGTGTTAATAGTCGGAGTAAAGCAACACACGATTTTGTAAGACTGTGGGTCAAAATTCTGCAAAGATCCTACAAAAAAAGGAACATATGCAATTCAGGTAAAATAACAATCTCCCAGGACAAATTAGCTAGCAACAGCAAGATAGCTAAATGTACATTCATGTTTCATGTGTGTTTGACATGCCCCCAAATGAATGTAGTTGTTTCACTGTTGGTTTTGATATTTTAACCTGTGTGTGATGATCGCGTCTGGGGTGGATGGAGAAAATCAACATGCTCATGATGGAGGACGCACTCTAGTAGCCGGTGTAGTCAGCATATACCCTATATATACAAATGTATATGGACACCCCTTGAAATTAGTGGATTCGGCTATTTCAGCCACACCCGTTGCTGACAGGTGTATGAAATCGAGCACACGGCCATGCAATCTCCTTAAACAAACATTGACAGTATAATAGAATGGCCTTACTGAAGAGCTCAGTAACTTTCAACGTGGCACCTTCATAGGATGCCACCTTTCCAACAAGTCAGTTCGTCAACTGTAAGTACTGTTATTGTGAAGTGGAAACGTCTAGGAGCAACAACGGCTCAGTTGCGAAGTGGTAGGCCACACAAGCTCACATAATGGGACCTCCTAGTGCTGAAGCATGTAAAAATCATCTGTCTTCGGTTTCAACACTCACAACCAACTTCCAATCTGCCTCTGGAAGCAACGTCAGCACAATAAATGTTTGTCGGGAGATTCATGAAATGGGTTTCCATGGCCGAGCAGCCGCACACAGGCCTAAGATCACCATGCACAATGCCATGCGTCGGCTGGAGTGGTGTAAAGCTCGCCGCCATTGGACTCTGGAGCAGTGGAAACGCGTTCTCTGTAGTGATGAATCACGCTTCACCATCTGGCAGTCCGAAGGACAAATCTGGGTTTGGCAAATGCCAGGAGAAGCTACCTGCCCCAATGCATAGTGCCAACTGTAAAGTTTGGTGGAGGAGGAATAATGGTCTGGGGCTGTTTTTCATGGTTCGGCCTAGGCCCCTTTAGTTCCAGTGAAGGGAAATCTCAATTCTACAGCATACAATGACATTCTAGATGATTCTGTGCTTCCAACTTTGTGGCAACTGTTTGGGGAAGGCTCTTTATTGTTTCAGCAAGACAATGCCCCTGTGCACAAAGTGAGCTCCATACAGAAATGGTTTGTCGAGATCAGTGTGGAAGAACTTGACTGGCCTGCACAGAGCCCTGACCTCAACAAACACATTTGGGATGAATGGGAACGCCGACTGCGAGCCAGGCCTAATCGCCCAACATCCGTGCCAGACCTCACTAATGCTCTTGTGGCTGAATGGAAGCAAGTCCCTGCAGCAATGTTCCAACATCTAGTGGGAAGCCTTCCCAGAGGAGTGGAGGCTGTTACAGCAGCAAAGGGGGGACCAACTCCATATTTAATGTCCATGATTTTGGAATGAGACGTTCGACAAGCAGTTGTTCACATACTTTTGGTGGGCTTTTCTTTCATTCTCTTGACTGTTATCACACTAAACAGGCAGCTGGTTTGAAGATGAAACAGGATCATGTATGAAGAAGAGAGACAGATTCATGTTGGAGTCTGAGATTGAGGAGTCAGTGAAGACCTGCCACGTCCTGTAATGCCCCAGAACCTTCTCTTCTCCTTTCTGTGTCTCAGACTGATCAGGACACACACATACTCCACCTTAAATGAGAATTCATGAGACTGAGGCAGCTGACAGAGAGAAGGGAAGGGAAGTGAGATTAGCCTCAGACTAGAGAATAGAGCGTTTGAGTTGCTGGTAACTCTGAGCAACTTGATGATGTAAAGGTGGAATAATAAAGGTCACAGACTGACAGGAATATTACTCACAGTAACCAGCTAGATGTGCCACTGTGACATCAAAATATTACTGCCTACTTGAATAACATGGACCCCCAAAGCACCTTGAAAAATGAATGTGTAACAATACTTATCAAAAGGCATGTTGCTTGATGCTGTTTGCCATCATGTTTCTGTCGTCATTTAGAGTTAATGTGCTGTATCTTGTGTAATGTTTACCACGTGCATTAGTGGTGAGTGGTGAGTGTGAGAGAGTGAGAGAGTGAGAGTGTGTGAGAATTAATTAATTGGCTGCTACTTTATACTCCAAACACATAGTCCTCCTGTCTGTCCCCCAAGACATTCTAATCTGATTGTCTTTCTCTCCACTTTCGAGGGGCTTGTGTATTTAATTGCATTGCTCTTCACTCTCTCATTACAATTTACTTTGTATTCTGTGTTGGGGTTTGTGTCCATATGCGTGTGTGTGTTGTACTAAAGCCATGTTTGCGTGTACGTGTCTCTTACAGGTGTGTGTGTTTCTGTACAGTATGTCAATGCTTGTGTGTGTGCACGACTCCTGATTTGGATTATTAAGAGAGACATCCATCCTTTCAGCCCCTCCCATGGTGCTCTGGTAAAGAGCAGCGCTATCGATCCCAAACAGCTCCATTTCCTCTCTGTGTCCAAACGTATTAGATGCTCTCCTCTCTCACAGCCCTTTGATCCCTCCTTCTCTTTCTCTACTTTGTATTACCCACTCTCTCTTTCTCCCTTCTTTTGTTTTCTCTCTACATCCTCTCCTGTCTTTCTCCTTCTTACCTTTCTTTACGCCATCTCTCTATTCCATTCTCCTTCCCTACCCCTCCCTCTCTCCCTGACTCCATCTTTCTTTGTCTCTTTCATCCGACCAGCTCTCTCCCCCTCTCTCTCCCCCTCTATCTTTCCCTCTCTCTTTCCCTCTCTTTCTATCACTAACTCATCCCTCGCTCTCTGTGTCTCCATGCAGGCTCTCTATCCTAGCCCAGAGGAGGGCTGGCAGATCTACAGTTCAGCTCAGGACGCAGATGGGAAGTGTATCTGTACAGTGGTGGCCCCGGCCCAGAACATGTGTAACCGAGACCCACGCAGCAAACAGCTCCGCCAGCTCATGGAGAAGGTAACAGCCGTCAATAACACACACTCAGACATTTTGTTACCCACGTCTGGTACAATCACACACACACACACACACACACACACACACACACACACACACACACACACACACACACACGACACAGACCAATCCCTTCTGTAGTAAACCATTTAGACTCTTAGAGATTAACAGTCACACTATGACAGCCACACTCACTCTATCCCACTGACATTTGATCAGTCATGCACGCAAATATTGTTAGTCAAAAGACTGTAGGAGCATTAGGAAAAATCACTTCAAGGGAGGGCATGTCCTACATTTCCCCATGAAAATTGGCTTCATTGAGCCTTAGTCTTGTAGTGTTGTTCCAATTGGATCCATTAGGCTGAAAAAGCGGTGAGAAAAAAAGAATATGAACCAAATCAGTAAATGGAGCACCCAGCTTACTGCTGCAGCTGCACTCTAACTGTTCACACACAATGTCTGTGTAAATAAACACTCAAACGCACCATCTCTCTTGCTCACACACTCATACACTACAGCACAGCAGCCATATGAAATAGAATGCCTGCATAAACACATGAAAGCATGCACTCACTCACACATCTGTTTTTGTGCCTGCCTTCAACAAAGCTGTGTATAAAACATGTATCCTCAAACACGTATCCCAAGACCTAGAGAGTTGCCGGGATAGCTTGGCAGCGGCCTTAGAGCACTGAATATGCAAATGCAATCTCCAACCACTCTCTATGCCCCACATACATACACAACACACACAGGTTTGATGAGAGTGATACTGAATTCCATAGCGAGTCTTAGCCCCTACTCCATAGACTTTCCTGTAAGTCTGAAACGATTGGATAGGTTTAAGCCACCCAAGCAAATCAGAAGCCAAGGTGAGTCACAAGGTGCAAGCTAACCGATCCTGTCAGGTCTAGAAGAGGGCCTAGGGGTTAGAGAGAGAGAGAGAGAGAGGCTCTTCTCCTCCATATCTAACCCCATCTCTCCACCTCCTTCCCTCCTCCCTCAAAGAGCCAGAGGTTTCAGTGGGTTGTGTTGTAGCTAATAGTTTGGCTTGCTGAGTCTTCTCCAGGCCTTTTTCCCAGCAGGGCACTCTGCTCTAACTTCTCATTGACACATCTCCATCTCTATATACTGGAGCCTGGCAGGATGCAGTATTGAGTTAGGGGTTGTGAGGGGAGACAGTGGGTGGGAAAAAGATGGAGGGAGAGGCGGAGGGAGGGAGAGAGGGAGAGAGGGGGGAGAGAGGGAGCGAGCGAGCGAGAGGAAGGCTGACATTGATATGGTGCTGAGAGAAAAGGAGAACTGAGGTAAATTGAGATGCTGAATGGGCTGTGGAAGCCTCAGTGGATCAATGAGACACCTGAATTCTCTGATCTTATTCACACTGTTAGATAGCCATCTCCTTCGCTCAGATTTTGGGCTACACACAAACTTTTTAGACAAATGCACAAGTGTATGTGAGCTTGTAAGACAGCAGCTGTGAGGGACTACCGCTCCTGTCTAACAAAGGCCAGACTAATGAGGACACCTGGGGTCAGTGGTTCTGTCTCTGAGCCGCCCGCCCAGCGTACCATAGACTAGCGGAGGAGGTGGGCTGAATGGAGCCACTCTGTCATCCAATATAACATCCTCATTTAAAACGCACTAGACATGATCCTCACCTCAGACAGCCAAGGATATGCTAACAATGTACCATACAAAGTTCAATTATATCCAAAGATTGTAAAATACCACAATAAAATGCCACCATATCTAGCATCATTTGTAAAGCTGTACAAATTCCATACCCATGGTCATGGTTAGGGCTGTTGTGGTGACCATATTACCGCCACACCGGCGGTCATGAGTCATGGCCGCAGTAAAAATCCACGTGACAGCACAGTTGAAAGATATATGGCAAATAGAAATCAAAACTGGATGGTCTTCAGAGACAGATGGGAGGAGGGGTTGAGGGTAGCTGAAGGATGGGACTAAAAACAAACAAAAATAACTATTGTAAAATATACTGTGTCCGTAAAAATGTATATAGTATGAATAAACTGGAAGAAGAAGCCTCAGTGTTATTGTCCATTAGTTTACTCCAATTAGGGGAGGGGTGGTAGGGTCAGGGGAAAATAATAAAGGAAAATATATTTTAAAATATGTTATATACAGTACCAGTCAAAGTTTGGACACACCTACTCATTCAAGGGGTTTTCTTAATTTTTTTACTATTTTCTACATTGTACAATAATAGTGAAGACATCAATCATGTAGTAACCAAAAAAGTGTTAAACAAATCAAAATATATTTGAGATTCTTCAAAAAGCCACCCTTTGCCTTGATGACAGCTTTGCACACTCTTGGCATTCTCTCAACCAGCTTCATAAGGTAGTCACCTGGAATGCAATTCAATTAACAGGTGTGCCGTCTTAAAAGTTAATTTTTGGAATTTATTTCCTTCTTAATGCGTTTGAGCCAATCAGTTGTGTTGTGACAAGGTAGGCGGGTATACAGAAGATAGCCCTATTTGGTAAAAGACCAAGTCCATATTATGGCAAGAACAGCTCAAATAAGCAAAGAGAAATGACAGTCCATCCTTACTTTAAGACATGAAGGTCAGTCAAACTGGAAAATGTCAAGAACTTTGAAAGTTTCTTCAAGTGCAGTCGCAAAAACCATCAAGCGCTATGATGAAACTGGCTCTCATGAGGACCGCCACAGGAATGGAAGACCCAGAGTTACCTCTGCTGCAGAGGATAAGTTCTTTAGAGTTACCAGCCTCAGAAATTGCAGCCCAAATAGATGCTTCACAGAGTTCAAGTAACAGACACATCTCAACATCAACTGTTCAGAGGGGACTGTGTGAATCAGGCCTTCATGGTTGAATTGCTGCAAAGAAACTACTACTAAAGGACACCAATAAGAAGAAGAGACCTGCTTGGGCCAAGAAACACGAGCAATGGACATTAGACTGGTGGAAATTTGTCATTTGGTTTGGAGTCCAAATTGGAGATTTTTGGTTCCAGCCGCATTGTCTTAGTGAGACATGGTGTGAGTGAACGGATGATCTCCGCATGTGTAGTTCCCACCGTAAAGCATGGAGGAGGAGGTGTTATTGTGTGGGGGTGCTTTGCTGGTGACACTGTCTATGATTTATTTAGAATTCAAGGCACACTTAACCAGCATGTCTACCACCGCATTCTACAGCGATACGCCATCCCATCTGGTTTGGGCTTAGTGGGACTATCATTTGTTTTTCAACAGTACAATGACCCAACACACCTCCAGGTTGTGTAAGGGCTATTTGACAAGGATGACAGTGATGGAGTGCTGCATCAGATGACCTGGCCTCCACAATCACCCGACCTCAACCCAATTGAGATGATTTGGGATGAGTTGGACCGCAGAGTGAAGGAAAAGCAGCCAACAATTGCTCAGCATATGTGGGAACTCCTTCAAGACTGTTGGAAAAGCATTCCAGGTGAAGCTGGTTGAGAGAATACCAATAGTGTGCAAAGCTGTCATCAAGGCAAAGGGTGGCTACTTTGAAGAATTTAAAATCTAAAATATTTTCTGATTTGTTTAACACTTTTTTGGTTACTACATGATTCCATATGTGTTATTTCCTTCACTATTATTCTACAATGTAGAAAATAGTAAAAATAAAAACAAACCCTGGAATGAGTAGGGGTGTCCAAACTTTTGACTGGTACTGTATATTTACCAAGAAAATATATGGGGGATTGGAAATGATGCAGACAATTACATTGATGGAAGCCACAATCTATCTGCAATAAAAAAGCTGATCTACCCTAAAAAAAAAATACATTAATAATAATAATAATTCCATGTGACTTGAGTAATCTCCTCTTATGCACTTTGGACATGCGTTGGTAGTACCCAACTCACTAACTTGATCATCAGGTCCTAATGGCCTGGTACTCAGCGATTTATTGTCCCTCTAACCACTCTGACATCAATGCAAATGTATTCAAAATCACACCAAACACTTATGATCAAAACAGTCTCATTCTTTTAAAACTCACCTCACTGTGATGATCAATTTGAAGAAAGACGTTCAACAGCAGGTTGAAACTGAGTGGAAAACATGGTCATTGTGGATGTTGTTTCAAAGCCTAACACAACGAAATGAACAGCACTTTCTAAGGTGATGATTAATTCAAAACACCCATACTATTACAACTTATGAATACCATAGGCCTATATATGAGCCCAAGCCCGAAAACAAACCCTGAATTAAATTAACGATTGTGCCATTATACAATACATAGCCTATACTCCACAATTCACCAAATTCTAGTAATCGTCTTTGAGTTTGGACTGTAGTATTATGCATACTGGATGGGCTGGTTACCTTATGCTACGCTCCAAAATGTCTATCCATGAGTCAGGGAGAGAACGTCTAGGCCTAGGCGATGCTATTGGTTTGTTGATTTTGCAGGGCGGCTTACAGAGTTAGCCTACAATTATAGTGAATTTTGTATTAGATTTTTAAGCTTAGTAATAGGGCATTTTTTATATTTTCATAATTAATAGGCTGACACGGTGCGTTTCCATCTCCTCTCTCTCCTTAATTCCTTCTATATGCAATCCCGTGTGAAAGCAGTTTTTTGATGGTTGCCACTAAAAAGAGGAGGATCCCAGGTGCTACTATATTTATTCCTCAGCTGCTTATATTTAGCACATGCTCCACTATATAACCGGAGTAGCCTACCCAGCATGATTGAAAAACAAACTGTGGGCAAGCAATCTCCATTCGCTATTCGAGTGCATAGGGTTAACATGTATTTCTTCCCCTGGCTTTGTTCCTGCCCATTTGATAATGGGCCATTCTAAATCTAAACTAATTTTACATATTAATGAAGACAAGATTAAATTGAGAATAGTCTGATGGATGAAAATATGATCACTAGATGAGAGAACAGCGCGTGTAGCCTGAGGCAAGCAACAGAGCTCAAGTTTTTTTTGCAACATGCATCCCATATGTTTTGATTTAAGACATTCTAAGGTTTGTATCATTCACAACTAAAGTTGCCAAATAACTCTAAATCTAGAGTATAGGACCTGTTTAACATGATCACTTTTACGCTCAACATAGCCACTTCATATGCGCACTCGCTCCTGGAGGGGAAAAATATCCTTTCTATTTTATTCAGTGAAGTTCAATTATATTCTTAATACTATAAAATCATATAATATAAAATAATGGCATGGGACTTATAAGTGTATCTTATTTGCTAAATGAACTAGCCTACAGCCTATGGCATGGGCGCACAGCAAGATAACATGTAGGCCAACTCATTTTCTGTTCTTCTGAAATACATTTTCTTCATATCATAATGTTTCTTTAGCCCTGCCTAAAATAAGTAATGGATTTATTGTGATGGTGTATTAAATGTATTTATTAGACTTTTTTAAATGTAGATGTTCCACAGGGGCGCATGAGCGGCTTGTATGCAGCTTGTATGCGTGGGGGCCTGGAGATGCTAAACATGTTTTTACCGGGAGCCCTAGCCACAGCCCTAGTCATGGTGTTTGCTCAAATAGGTCTCTGTAGGTCCGCAGGTGACAGACAGTCCAGACAGAGAGACAGACTAAGATTTAAACAGACAGACAGACATTTAAACAGCTTTTATCACCTCCCTCAGTGAGCTAAGGAGGAGATATGGAGCAGCATGACTCATCGTGCTGGACCGCCAGACAGCAGAAGCAGATTGGACTAGAACATATAGCTAAACCAGCCAGGAGAATGAATATGGAACTAGCTAGCAGTCTGTGGTTAGCGTTAGCTAGTGTTAGTGTTACCTCAAAGCCTCTCTGGGGATGGAGCTACCTGTCTGTCACACCTGCCAGGCCACAGTGTCTACACACAGTCACACACAGCCGGAGGCTTCATAATATACACTACATGACCAAAAGTATGTGAACACAAAATCATGGACATTAATATGGAGTTGGTCCCCCCTTTGCTGCTATAACAGCCTCCACTATTCTGGGAAGGCTTTCTAATGGATGTTGGAACATTGCTGCGGGGACTTGCTTCCATTCAGCCACAAGGGCATTAGTGAGGTCGGGAACTGATGTTGGGCGATTAGGCCTTGCTCGCAGTCGGCGTTCCAATTAATACCAAAGGTGTTCGATGGGGTTGAGGTCAGGGCTCTGTGCAGGCCAGTCAAGTTCTTCCACACCAATCTCGACAAACCGTTTCTGTATGGACCTCACTTTGTGCACGGGGGCATTGTCATGCTGAAACAGGAAAGGGCCTTCCCCAAACTTATGCCACAAAGTTGGAAGCACAGAATCGTCTAGAATGTCATTGTATGCTGTAGCGTTAAGATTTCCCTTCACTGGAACTAAGGGGCCTAGCTACCATGAAACACTACCATGAAAAATAAAGTAATCCTTCTACCCCCCCTTACCCCACCCCAAAGAAAGAAAAAAAGTTGTAAAGTGGTTATCCCACTAGCTATAAGGTGAATGCACCAATTTGTAAGTCGCTCTGGATAAGAGCGTCTGCTAAATGACGTAAATGTAAAAAAAATGTAAAAAAGCGGCCGGGAGACCCATGGGGCAATTGACCCAGCGTCGTTCAGGGTAGGGGAGGGAATGGCCGGCTGGGATGTAGCTCAGTTGGTAGAGCATGGCGTTTGCAACGTCAGGGTTGTGGGTTCGATTCCCACGGGGGGCCAGTATGAAAAATGTATGCACTCACTTAACTGTAAGTCGTTCTGGATAAGAGTGTCTGCTAAATGACTAAAATGTAAATGTAAAAACAGCCCCAGACCATTATTCCTCCTCCATCAAACTTGACAGTTTGCGCTATGCATTGGGGCGCAAGTAGCATTCTCCTGGCATCCGCCAAACCCAGATTTGTACGTCGGACTGCCAGATGGTGAAGCGTGATTCATCACTCCAGAGAACTGGTGATCTTAGGCTTGTGTGTGGCTGCTCGGCCTTGGAAACCCATTTCATGAACAGTTCTTGTGCTGATGTTGCTCCCAGAGGCAGTTTGGAACTCGGTAATGAGTGTTGCAACCGAGGACAGACGATTTTTACGCACTACACGCTTCAGCACTTGGTGGTCCCGTTCTCTGAGCTTGTGTGGCCTACCACTTCACGGCTAAGCTGTTGTTGCTCCTAGATGTTTCCACTTCACAATAACAGCACTTACAGTTAGTTGACTGGGGCAGCTCTAACAGGGCAGAAATTTGACGAACTGACTTGATGGAAAGGTGGCATTCTATGACAGTGCCATGTTGAAAATCCCTGAGCTCTTCAGTAAGGCCATTCTACTGTCAATGTTTGTCTATGGAGATTGCATGGCTGTGTGCTAGATTTTATACACCTGTCAGCAACGGGTGTGGCTAAAATAACCGAATCCACTAATCATACTTTTGTATATGTAGTGTAATTCATGTACAGTACATACCTTAATACACAAATTGAATTAACTACAAACTCCATAATAATTAATGTACATAAATTAATACACAAATGAATATTTAATGATGTTAATTAGTTACATAAGGTTTGGCCAGTTGAACCCTGGCCAGTATGTGTGTGGGAGAGTGGGTGTAGTGTGTGGATGGAATAGAGAAGTAGCAGAGTGTATAGTGAGTGGGTGGTTCCAGTGGGCGGAAGTCACAGTGGGTGGGCTGGACATCTGGTGGTGAGAGGAGGAAGACACAACTAACTTCTGATAAGAGGAAGTGAAGGCAAAGTGCTGTTGGGAGTACGGTACAGCACACTCATTTTAATAAAAAGGAAAAAACATGCCACTGAATAAACATGTCATTCTGTGTGGGTCTGACTGCGTGTCTGTCTTAGTCTGACCCCGTTTATACATGGTGCTAACATGGGTCCTTAGTCCTGATCTTGTCCACATACTGATTGTGCCCACATGTCCAGAAATGTGTCTACACATGGTATTAACATGTGTCTGTTATCTGTCCACTGGGTCTGCATTGTGACTTCCTGGTCCCTTCATTTATGCAAATTATTTCACAGCTATTCTTTCAAAATAAGATGTATTTATTTATTGTAAGACACATATTGATGTAGTCAGTCAATGGTGCCACCTGTCAATGATTTTAGGAATAATGATGACTTAAATGGTTTCTATGTACAGATCTGTCTACACTTGTAAGATATCCAGACACAATGTGTGTCTGACTACCTCTGGAGGTGGGCAGGATGATCTGATCACAATCAGATCACATTGTGTCTTTTGATTGTCGACACCTGTCAAAAAATGTGGGCACAATCGGAATGTGGACAAGATCAGGAAAAGGACGCAAGTTAGAACCAGGTATAAACGGGGCTTCTGTATCTATCTGTCTCTGTCTTTCTGTGCGTCTGTGCACCTAACTGCGTGTGTATGTGTTTGACTGACAGGTCCAGAACATCACCCAGTCCATGGAGTTGCTGGACCTGCGGACCAACAGGGACCTTCAGTATGTGAGGAACACAGAGAGCCTGATGAAGGCTGTAGACGTCAAGCTGAAGACTGCCTCAGACAACCCCCGCAGCCTCAACCCCAAGAGCTTTCAGGTAACGCACATGAGATGCGTGCATGTGTCCATTCATGTGTACTGAATTTAAATCACACAGGTTTCTATGCGAAGCATATTTCTAAACTACGTGTGTGAACTTTCTATAGGAACCTCCTGTACTCTATCACAGTATTTATAAAGAATACTCACTACAGCTTCCTCTACATCACAACACATAATGACACACTAACACTCACATAGCTTATCTTCATCTGCTACTTCAGTGTAATTGAGTCATGTACAGGAGGCAATTTGAGCACGTTCAAATGCACCTTCATTATTAAAACCCCATGACCAAGGACAAGAGTGTTTCTCTCTCTCTCTCGCTCGCGCTCTCTCTGCCTGTTCTCAGTTAACAGCCATATATATTCACATTTATCTCTTCCTTATCTTCCTACAAGTGGAATCTCAGGCTCCATTATTACAGTGTTTCTGTCTTCCTGTCAGTATGCCTTTTCAGGCCTTTCTTTACACTCTCTCGGATATTAGATGGACCATAAAATGGTTTGATTAAAAGATGCTTTGATAAATGCTTTAATGCCTAAGCCTGCTTTACTGCTGGGACTCTGCACGGCAACAGGGATGGGCCTGGGGAATGGCCTCATGGTGTTTCTCTCTCAACACGTTTTATTATTAAAGTCACTGCAATGTTTACGAAATCCCCCCCATTCATCAATATATCTTAATATCACTAACATATGCCAAGTCGTGCAAATTCAAATAGCCTTCCAAATGTGAATGAATACTCATTCACGATCCAATGGGTTGAAAAAAAATGCATAAGTCTAAAAGCTGCATTTGACTTTCTGTGAGACAGCCTGATGAATCTGTGGAGCTCAACGTCGCCGATGGCAGGGCACGGGAGATTAACGAGAGGGAATTTACAGGGGGTGAACTGGGTAAAATTAGATTTATGATGTGGCGCTGTGTGGCTGAGAGCTGCTCCATCACCAGATTTACGATTAAACTTAACAAGGAGAAAACAGCCCCTCCTGTGGTGGACTAGCTTTATTGATACACCTGCTGCTCCTAACTGCCGTACAGCACAGGGCTGCATTGATATAGCATAGCAGGCTACCTCAGGCTACCTCTTCTCTCCTCTCCTGCTACCCCTTCATCGATACACCACTGGCCTATGAGAAATCATCCCCACCACCTCCCTGACAGCAGATCAGTCATAGATGTGGAGCTGAGGCTAGGCTAGGATAGATGGGATAGGTCCCCCGGACGAGGAAGAGGTCTGCATTGGAAAATGAAACAATAGAGTCCAGGATCAACAGTATGCATGAAAACACATTTGGGTATTTATCATGAGAAAGGTGACTAGTTCTGACATTCGAATGCAGCCAGTACCATCACACACACAAATCTGCCCTTCTGTTTGCTATGTGTGTGGTTCCTCTCTCTCACTCCTCTTTCTACTGTTTTTCATCTTTCTGAATCCAATCTTCCCATTTGTCACCCCTCTCTTCTTCCAACCCCAGGAGTTGAAGGACAAGGTGACCCAGCTGCTCCCCCTGCTGCCGGTGTTGGAGCAGTACAAGATGGACGCCCGTCAGATCAGCCGGCTGAGGGAGGAGGTGAGGAACCTGTCCCTGGTGCTCATGGCCATCCAGGAGGAGATGGGAGCCTACGACTACGAGGAGCTGAGACACAGGGTCCTGCTGCTGGAGACCAGGCTCCACTCCTGCATGCAGAAACTGGGTGAGGAGGGTGGAGGGGGTGTGTGGTTGGTAGTGTCTGTGGAGATCCATAAATATCCATAAAGGTGAAGATCCAGGATGACATTATACTGATAGAAAGATGCTGACATCCCAACCCTAACAGAACGTCTTATGGCTACTCTACTATGACTGGTTAGAGGTAGTCTACATGTACATAATACTGTAAGGGCTATCCAAATTGACTAGGCAATGTGAGAACCTAACACAGATCATTTGTAATATTTTTTATACTAAATGTATTTGTTCACAACCTGAGATGCAGTTGGATTTAGAATAAAGGACTTACTTGTTTTTCTCAATGAATAGTCAAGCAGTGCTCTCTGAAAACACTATTATAAAAACCAGAAGAGTATCTTTACGATCAATTTAATCCAACACATTAATGATACACTAGCACTATAAGCAATGTGAAATGTAGCTAGCTGAGATGCAGGTTATTAATGGTCAACATTCTCGTGATGTTAATGTACAGTACTAGTATTAAGCTGGATAAATTATCCAGTAATGGCCTAGAGATGCCCGGATAAATGATCATTCTCATGTAATATGTGGAGCTAAACTGCTGATTTAGTAAAATCCTGTATATATAAACTGATGATTTAACAGAAAAAGGGATTGCAGCTAAAATGTTGCTTTTAGCTGTTTAATATTTCACGATATTCTGGGTGGGTGGGTGCGTGTGTGTGTGTGTCGCAGGCTGTGGGAAGTTGACCGGCGTCAGTAACCCCATCACCATCCGTGCGTCAGGGTCAAGATTCGGCTCCTGGATGACTGACACCATGATCCCTAGTTCAGACAACCGGGTAAGTTTTCCACACACATGAACGCACACACACACGTTTGTTTTACTATCCTTGTGGGGACCAAAACATTGATTCCCATTCAAAATCCTATTTTCTCTAACCCCTAAACCTAACCCTAACACCTAACCCTAATTATAACCCTAATTGTAACCCGTAAGCCTAAAAAAGCAATTTTCCTTGTGGGGACTGGCGAAATGTCCCCACTCTGAATGTTCCTTGTTTTACTATCCTTGTGATGACCAGAAGTCCTAGGATAGTAAAAGAAGGAACATTCAGAGTGGGGACATTTCGCCGGTAAAAACCAAACCACACACACTGACCCCTGACCCCCAAAACACAGTTTATCACATGGCTTAGACTACAGCTCCAGAGGACCCTCACAGGGGGGTTGTATGCTGTAATGCTACTTTGGTGACGGACTATTTTGACTCCAGAGAGTCACTGAGAGCTGAGTCACTGATGGATGGCAGCCCTGCCTCCTCTCCCTCCCTCCCTCCCGTCCCATCCCGTCACAGCTACAGTACTCCTGCTGATTAATCATTCTGTCATGGGGGAAGAAATGAACGACTTGTTTAAGCAGAAGTTTCTCCAATCACCTGGGTAATTACCAGCAGTGTGACTGCCAGCCGAGCAGCAGAGCAGCAGAGACTGAGACAGGGCTGTGAGTCTGGACACAGATGATACAGTAATGGGTTTTCCTAATTGGAGATGACATGTTGTCGCACGTTAACAAGCCCCTCTGGTGTAGAGTAAAGAAGAGAGGGGAGAGGAGAGGAGAGGAGAGGAGAGGAGAGGAGAGGAGAGGAGAGGAGAGGAGAGGGGGTGGTAGAAGGGAAGAGGAGAGGGAGAGAAGGTGGAAGAGGGGGAAGAGAGGGGAGGGGATGCGTGGAGGGGGAGCGGAATGGAGGATAGGAGAAGTGAGGAAAGAGAGAGGGGAGGAGAGGACAGACGTTCCTTTCCGTGGGGGAAAAATTAAGATGGACTTTCTCATCTAAACAGTGTCATCATGTCCCAGACTAAATAGATGGAATGTTGTGTTGTAGACAGCAAAGGTCATCGTCTCCCCCATGCAGTTTAATGATCACTTCGCTCACTGACATCACATTAGAATTCATATCAATCACTGATCCTATAGCCCCTATACATCCAAAGAGTATCACATTAACGCCCGTATCCATCACTGTGATCACATTTGGGATCCCAAATGTCATTGGCTCCTGAGAGTGAAATGTAATTGGCTCCACTCTGCCTCCCGAATGCTACATGACAAAAAACCTCTCTCTCAGACATGCCTGTCTGCCTGTGCGTGTCCCAACCATGGCACAAGTAAAGCCCATCCATGCTCTAGGGACTCGTTTAACTGTGAAAAGGAGAAATAATACTTAATGCTCCATAATCTTCCCTCCTCCATAATTCAGCTGCTATTCCAGCACCACCAGGGCTCCTGTCCTCCCTCCCCTCCCTCCCTCCGGCGATCAGCCTAAAAACAAGTGGATAGGACCAAATCCTTGCCTGATACATTAAGATACATTGTAGGCCGTCATTGTAAATAAGAATTTGCTCTTAACTGACTTGCCTAGTTAAATAAAAAGTACATAAATGAGCTGATTGTGGTTTAATTGAATCAATTAATAGTGGAGAGGCCAGGGGATGAGTGGAGTTTGGGTCATGGAGGGGGCTGATCTGTCAATGACCCGATCCAGTCATTCTCAGTAGCAGAGAAAAGAGAGAAAGAGACGCTAACGGGATTGATTTTCTGTAAGTGGGCTGGAAAGGGCAGTGTGGCAGGCTGGTCTGACTGCAGAGCATACAGACAAGGTCTTCACACACACACAGACACACAGACACATACACAGACACATACACAGTAGATCAATAGCACTGCACATACACCACACAAACACATGCACACACCTACGCACGCATGAAAAAAGGTATGAACACACACTTTACTCAGGGCACTGCTGTAGGCAGGTTATCAGGAAGAAAGAAGAATAGACACCTCTGATGTAATGGAGCACAACATTATCACTATGTTTACATCCTTACTCACTGCTCCACTCTCTCTCTCTCGCTCTCGCTCTCTCTCTGCCTCTCTCTCTGCTCCTCTCTCTCTCTCTCTCTCTGCCTCTCTCTCTGCTCCTCTCTCTCTCTCTCACTCTCACTGCTTCTCTCTCTCTCCTCCTCTCTCTCTCTATCTCTATCTCTAGGTTTGGTCCATGGACGGCTACTTTAAGGGTCGTCGTGTCCTGGAGTACCGCACCCTAAACGACTTCATGAAAGGCCAGAACTTTGTTCAGCACCTGCTGCCCCACCCCTGGGCGGGGACTGGCCACGTGGTCTACAACGGCTCCCTCTACTACAACAAGTACCAGAGCAACATCATCATCAAGTACCACTTCAGGTCCCGCAGTGTTCTGGTGCAGCGCAGTCTCAGTGGGGCCGGCTACAACAACACCTTCCCCTACTCCTGGGGAGGCTCCTCAGACATCGACCTGATGGCAGACGAGAACGGCCTGTGGGCCGTCTACACCACCATCCCCAACGCCGGCAACATTGTCATCAGCCGACTGGAGCAGCAGAGCCTGGAGGTGCTGCAGACATGGGACACAGGGTTCCCCAAGCGCAGCGCCGGAGAGTCTTTCATGATCTGTGGCACGCTGTACGTCACCAACTCCCACCTGGCCGGGGCTAAGATCTACTTTGCCTACTATACTAATTCGTCTACCTACGAGTACACAGACATCCCCTTCCATAACCAGTACTCCCACATCTCCATGATGGACTATAACCCCAGGGAGAGGGTGCTGTACACCTGGAACAACGGACACCAGGTACTCTACAACGTCACTCTGTTCCAGGTCATTAAGACCGCTGGGGACTAGAGATACCAGGGGTGGCTGGTGTCACTTTACATCGGAGGACGGGCCTATTGTAATGGTTGGAATGGAATGAATGGAACGATATCAAACAACCATTCCATTGATTCCATTCCAGTCATTAGTATGTGCCGTCCTCCCTTCACAAGCCTCCATGGAGAGACACCTAGAGCTAGCCTGGTCCCAGGTTTGTTGTGCTGTCTTGACAACTCCTAGTGTGACAATGTATGTGTTGGAAAGATAGCACAGACAGATCTGGGACCAGGCTAACCCATAGGCAGAGTCAGACCGATCACACAACAAAACTATAATGGTGTTATGGAGGGGGGGTGGGCGGGCAGACAGATGGACAGACGGAGGCTTGGACTTTTTTTAAAGCATTTCAATCTTCTTCATAGACTGCTGTTATTCATTTGGGAAAAAAATACACTTCGACAGCAAGGTCGGTAAATATATACAGACTTGGGAGGCTTTCTGATTTTCTTTTCTGTGATGAGTAAGCATGGTTCTTTTTATTTGTGATGAGAAATAAATATCAACCTTTACCATTTAAGACTTTGTCCTTCATTGTGGCTCCCGCCTCTTGAGTAGACTACGTCCACCATTATTCTCTTTGAGGGCTGAAATAACTCATTTTCTTTAGAAATTATTTTCATTTTGAAAGCTCAATTTCCTTCAATAATCATCCTAACGCGACAGAAGAAACAACACGCAAAATAACATGTCCATCTTGAGCTCTCACCACGTGAAGATCTCAAAGTTTGAGTACAGCCACAATGTTGTTGTTTCCAAGGGGATCTGTCAGTGAAAGAAAGAGAGTGGTCATAAACAGTATGGATGAAAAGAAAAGAGGTGTGGAGGGATTGGAGAGTGTGTGAGAGAGAGAGAGAGAGAGAGAGATAAAAATGGTAAAGATGTGACAACATTAGCATTGAGACAGAAATGAGGCCCCAGGCAACACTGACGTCCGCTGTTGTTTGCGTTTGGCACGCTTCAATCTGCTTCCATCTCTTTAAAAGTACATAGTTCTTCTCCAGCCTGCTCTGCACTACAATAGACAGACACTCAGTATGACACCACCTGCATAAACAGTGACCTTTTCACTGTGTTCCTGTTTATTCAATGACACATAAAAACAAAACTACCAGCAAAATATTATAAAAACACCCTTGGCAGTTCTGAGGAGTTTGGATTGAGACAATGGCCCATTTTCTTTTCTTTTTATTCATTTATACAGGTTGAGACGAGATCAGATCTTTTTAGAAGAGACCCAGGAGAATAAAACAGGAGGACGAGCCGGTGGGGGGTAGCCCTGGGTTACCATGGTGATCTGATTCTCTGGAGGTGACCTTTCTATCAGTCAGCCTTCATGCTGTCCAGGACCATGATGAGTTCACAGATAGAGCAGGGCTGACATTTCACTAGCAGAAGGACGTATGGGAATGCAGGACAATATGAAAACTCACATGATGAACTCAAAACACAAAGGACATGTCTCAATAGCTTTCCTTTGAGACTTCACGTACACAAATCAATCTAATTCAACATGGAGAACAACACAGGCCATATCTCCCACAGAGTAGTGGTCTCTTAGATATACTTTTATTACAGTTTGGATTCCCTATATAGTGCATCTCATAGAGCTCTGGTCCAAAGTAGTGTACTTTTTACGTAATAGGGTGGCATTCTGGATGCACCCTCAGATAGACAGTCCACCAAGAGAGGCTGTGTTTCATGACAAGGTCTAATTGTTCATCCATTTGAGTGAGCGAAGAGGAAGGAAATGTACAGCTGTGATGAAATGGAGGAAATAATTGTGCGTGAAATGAGTTTGGGATCTAAACAGTTGACCATTTTAAATATGCATACACACACTCATACAGTATAGCTATATTAACACACCACAGGAGGCTGGTGGCACCTTAATTGGGAAGGACGGACTCATAGTAATGGCTGGAACGGAAGAAATTGAATGGTAATCGAACTCATCAAAGACATGATTTCCATGTGTTTGATACCATTCCATTCACTCCATTCCAGCCATTATTATGAACCGTCCTCCCCTCACCAGCCTCCTGTGACTCACACATAACTGCTCATGTATTTCCAAAACCTTAAAATTATCATTTTCATCCTACATTCTCCTAAACAATCATATCCACCCAAAGGAAATTATTATATATATTATTTCACCATTATCAGGCTTATTTCAACAAACTTCTGCTTCAATTAGAGAATTTTGCTCCATAAGGTGGCTCTGTACATTGGAAGCCTCAGGCAAGGGTTCAGTCAATTGCAGATAGTGGCTTTCCAGAAATGTGTTTGATCTGCATAGCAACATGTCCTGGATGGAGGGAGATGACACTTGATTTAGAAACCGCCAGTCCATAGTGTTCAACTCATCAAAGTCATCCAGAGCACACAACCAGACTGACAATCTCTACAAGTGTCAACTCCCTCTATCCAGGACATGCTGCTGTGCAAATCAAACACTTCACACTTCTCAAAGTGATACCCTGAAAAATCCACTATCTGCGATTGATTGAATCCTAGCATTAATGCAATCCAGGAAGAGAAGTTTGAACCCTGGAGTGGCATAGTAAGAGTTCATTCACTCAGAGAGTATAGGCTAGCTGCCTATAAGTATGCATGTCTACTCTCCTTTGCTCTGCATGCACTCGCTTTGATTGACTCATATAATAGTGGGAGACAGTGTGATGGAGAGGAGAAAGGCTGAGGAGGGCTGAGCTGAACAGGGAGAAGACAGAGAGAGAAACAGTCCCATCCACTCTGGTCCCTGAGAGTTGTGAGAGCCCGTTCCCATCCACCATATTAATCATGCATCCATCCCGTGGAGAGGCAGAAGAAGAAGAAGTCTATTCTACATATAAAGCTGCTGTGTCGTTCGACTGCAGCCGGAGCCGAGGCTGGAGCAGCAAAGATGCACTGCTGTTTAATTAAGACTTACAGTGCTTAATGCAAGCTCCGACAGCTGCTTTATATCCGGTCAATTAAACCATCAGTTACATCCTCCCTGCTATCCTGGACCGACAGCAGGCAGCATGAGGGAGGGAGGTACACATAAACATAACACAGTTACACTGCAGCTACAGTGAGGGAAAAAAGTATTTGATCCCCTGCTGATTTTGTACGTTTGCCCACTGACAAAGACATGATCAGTCTATAATTTTAATGGTAGGTTTATTTGAACAGTGAGAGACAGAATAACAAAACAAAAATCAAGAAAAACGCATGTCAAAAATGTTATAAATTGATTTGCATTTTAATGAGGGAAATAAGTATTTGACCCCCTCTCAATCAGAAAGATTTCTGGCTCCCAGGTGTCTTTTATACAGGTAACGAGCTGAGATTAGGAGCACACTCTTAAAGGGAGTGCTGCTAATCTCAGTTTGTTACCTGTATAAAGGACACCTGTCCACAGAAGCAATCAATCAATCAGATTCCAAACTCTCCACCATGACCAAGACCAAAGAGCTCTCCAAGGATGTCAGGGACAAGATTGTAGACCTACACAAGGCTGGAATGGGCTACAAGACCATCGCCAAGCAGCTTGGTGAGAAGTTGACAACAGTTGATGCGATTATTCGCAAATGGAAGAAACACAAAAGAACTGTCAATCTCCCTCGGCCTGGGAAACATGCAAGATCTCACCTCGTGGAGTTGCAATGATCATGAGAACGGTGAGGAATCAGCCCAGAACTACACGGGAGGATCTTGTCAATGATCTCAAGGCAGCTGGGACCAAAGTCACCAAGAAAACAATTGGTAACACACTACGCCGTGAAGGACTGAAATCCTGCAGCGCCCGCAAGGTCCCCCTGCTCAAGAAAGCACATATACAGGGCCGTCTGAAGTTTGCCAATGAACATCTGAATGATTCAGAGGAGAACTGGGTGAAAATGTTGTGGTCAGATGAGACCAAAATCGAGCTCTTTGGCATCAACTCAACTCGACGTGTTTGGAGGAGGAGGAATGCTGCCTAAGACCCCAAGAACACCATCCCCACCGTCAAACACGGAGGTGGAAACATTATGCTTTGGGGGTGTTTTTCTGCTAAGGGGACAGGACAACTTCACCGCATCAAAGGGACGATGGACGGGGCCATGTACCGTCAAATCTTGGGTGAGAACCTCCTTCCCTCAGCCAGGGCATTGAAAATGGGTCGTGGATGGGTATAACAGCATGACAATGACCCAAAACACACGGCCAAGGCAACAAAGGAGTAGCTCTAGAAGAAGCACATTAAGGTCCTGGAGTGCTAGCGTCTCAGACCTTAATCCATAGAAAATTTGGAGGGACTGAAGTTGAGTTGCTAAAATCAGCCTCGAACCTAGACTGGAGAAGATCTGCAAGAGATGATCAATCCTCGGATGTTGCAACTGGTGCAAACTACAAGAACTCTACTCTGTGATTGCAACAAGGTTTACACCAAGTCTAAGTCAGTTTAAGGGTCAAATTATTCCTCATTAAAACAAATATTATAACATGCTTTTCTGATTTGTGTGTTATTCTGTCCTCCTGTTCAATAAACCTACCATTAATTAAGCTGATCAGTCTTGTCAGTGGCAAGTACATCAGCTCAAATACTTTTTCCTCACTGTATATTCCTCCTCTAAGAGGGTCCTACAGTATCCTAATCACTCATCCATCCCCTGGTTATTCCACTCTGGATGAGCTCTCTCTCTCTCTCTGAAGGGAGGAGGGATTGTGGAGGTGGAGGTACAGAAGAGAGGGACAGATGGAGAAAATAAATATGTTTTATTCTACTCATCTCGTGAGAGACCCTGTCCTTTAATTGGTGTGTTTAATAGTGTTTTGGAGCAGCCATCGATCCTCCCAGCCCTAATTAGGCTGTGATTTGTGACGGACAGTAAAGCTGTAGTAATATTCTGGGGCGCAGCCACGGATCATTTGGTTTTATACCTGTAATGTTCTGACATGGCACACTTCATTGAGGCAGTCAAGATTTAGCATGAAATTTAGCTGATGGTGGTGGGGCCACGTGGGCTACTGCTCCCCCAATCTCCCTCTGTAATTACAGTGCTGTAGGTTAGTGGCCAGGGCTGAGGGTTCGGCCGCACCGTGGAAGGAAGCAGCTAGGGTTAGGGCTAATGTTAGGGTTAGGATAGAAAAAGGAGATGTGGCCTGACCTGGGGAACCCTCACCAAGAAGGCAGCAGACCGGAAGCAGTGGCGCTCTCTTGTGGATGCCTTATGTGCCTCAAGGCACGAAGAGGATTAAGGGCTCTATTCAATCTGTATTGCTGAAGCATAACAGATTGCGCAATATAAATGTTAAGGTCATTTCCGAGTGAGCCGACATATGCAGCGTTTACCGTGAATGCAGTCTCCGCTAATGCGGGAACATTGCCTTTAAAATGTAATAATGCCCTTAGTAAGTAGGGTTATAGTTAGGGTTTAACCGGGGTGTGGACATGAAGCTAGGGTAGGGATAGGGTAAGGTCGGGGTGGGTGGCCACTCCGAAATAAAGGACCGACTGCATAAAAA